CAGAGAAAGGCGCTCGGACGTCAACGCAGGCCCTCATCTCCTCCTCTTTTTTCAGTTTCCCTTCGTATAGGCCTTTTACTAAACTACCCAAGCACCAAGAATCATGCTATGATTGTAGTAACACGCTCGGAACATGCTGGTTATGGCAGCACTATACTTCGCTTCACCTTATGTGCGAGCGAAGGCAAAGCTGGAAGCGGCAGCACGAAACCTCCGTGCCTTCAGGCTTTGCTCGAGCGCGCGAGCTGGGCAGAAACGCAAAAAGCGCTGGTCTCGCGCTTCTAGCTTTGGCTTCGCTCGCAGATAGAATGAAACGAAGTATAGCTGTTCCAGTGCAAAACCCTTAATAACCAAACGAGACTTGCACGTGCGTTTGTCTACGCCCTATTTGATATAATTACTTTATATTTCTTCTACCAAATAAAACGAGCGCGTGGAGCGCGTGCAACACGTGTACCTTGAATAGACCTATTGCTATATTACCCAAACATCAAGGAGAATGCAGGGATTGGCGTTCCACGCGCCACACGCGAACGCCTTCTCCGAATAAAAGATTCATAGCGGATACACAAAATAAATCGTTGACGAACGCGCGTGCAAGATGCAATTTGTTTTAGGTATTTGCTTTAGAAAAGTTACTACTGCTGAGGCCAGCATGCGCTGTGGGTGTAACACCAATCCCTTCTTCTCCTTGATTCAAATTTCAAACGTACATACCGGTTATTGGGCACGCGAACGTAGTTTTGGAAGTCATTTTATGTCTTTTTTTTTTTTAGTGCTCAACTCTGAGGTGGTGGAATATAAATAATAAAGCAAAAATGGCCGCCTTGATTTTCCTGTCGTCGCCGGACTGGGTTGTAAACTCGCCCCCGGGCTAAATGGAAATAATACAAAAAAAAAAAAGACCGCTGAGAACGCCATAGTTGTCAGCGTTTCAACGAGATAATCGCGATAAGCAATAATTTTAACGAAATATACGAGCGATGAGCACTTAGAAGCAAGCACGTAAACCAGTGTGCAGACGACGAACATCGACCTAGGTAATGCACGACCGCCGTTTTTGTTCATTTTAAACATTTTACCGCCTCCGAGTTCAGCTCCGACGATAGACATCAATCTGTTTTGCAGAATGACGTTTGCGTGCCCAATTTCAGATTGTACTTACATTCGCGGACAATATGAAAAAGCCCAGGCGAGCGCGTGACTCCGAACACCTCCGGTGCTATCTGACAGATGAAAGATTGATTATCATCGAGGCTATTGTGTGAACGAGCGGCATCCTAGCCGCTGTTCAATATTTGTCATTACTCTCTCTTTTGTTCAGCAAACGATCGCTGAGTCAACACCGATAGTAGTCCTGTTCGGTGAAATAAACTAAAATGCACTTGTCGCCATTTATTCCGTGACCTTACTATCAAACATCCGAAAACTGATCGCTCAACCTGCCGACCCCGTGGATTCAGCCACGCTTGTTTTTGCCTTTTGTCAGGGAATGCCTCTACATTCGTCAAAATCAACATCAATGCGGTGACAGATGGCTAAGCGGGAAGTGAGGACAAAACTTGAGACCGCTAAAGCCTCGATTATGATTAAGCATTCTTCTGATAGATAGTGCTGCAGGCTTTGTAAGCTACGCGATCGCCTTGGAATTTTCATATCTTCCGCAGCCGTACGTTTACAATTTAAATTCTGCAAGGCGTGCCAAATGTGCTGGTCTTTACTAATACCACTGGATTCTGGGAAAGTAGCCCCAGGCTCCCATAGGGTCGCCAGTTGGGTTCACGGACTGAGCGGTTTCTCTTTGATCTCTCAGTTCTTGATGAGCCGATTTGAATTCGCTGGTGACAGGTAGCTTTACAGCGACGTTTCTTGTATACTGAGATTTTGTCTTCCATACACTGGCGAAACAAGCGCACATCTTTGCACCACCACCACATTAGGAGTAGGTGCTTGGCGGCATTGAAAAATCATTTTCCTGTCTTTAAATACGCAATAAGGACAATAACACTGTAAAAAGTCTGTCGAGATCAACAGGATTGATAAGTATATTGGACGAAAAGCGCCAAAGACGCTTATATTTGAGAGGAACGGTTTCAGGTGATGCTACATAGCGATCTTAGTGAGTCTGGTTCAGAACAACCCTTTCAAAATATCAAAGATATTAATCGACCGAAATGACTATTGCTATGGCAACTGAGACCAATCAGCCAATCACAGTGAGAGGTTTGGTTGTTTGTAAGTTAGTATCTGTTTGTGTCCGGGTAGCAGACAGGGAAGGCTTTCTCAGCATCTAGAACGTTTAGTCGTTACAGCAGGCAGAGAAGGCTTTCCAATGATCCAGTGACTTTAGTCATTACGGCCGCTTTATATACTTTTAGTCCTCATCTCTTAATACCGCGTACCCAGGTCTCAAAGCCACCGGCACAAAAACTTGGATTTGGGCTGGTTGGTTCATAACGATGAAAAGGTTTATAAACCGCGAACAAAACGAGGACAAAGAAGACACGAATACAATAAAACAGGTGTTAACTCTCAACTGACTTTTATTTGAAGTCATCATCACATATATACACGCACTCCTCTGCCCGACCCGCATCACCAAACAATCACCACTTCTAGAAGCAGCCGCTCAGAAACGTCACTCCTTTTGATGCGAAGCATTATCTGTCCCATGGAGCGAAGCCGGCATTGTCTGTAACCGTTATTTGTAACCGCTTGCAGCAGAAAAGCGGCGCATAAATTCTCATTCCCAATATAACACAAAGAAAATCACAGATTTCTCGTCATGGAAGCCGTCGTCAAGTCGGCAGGGTTCGCCGCGCCTGCTTACAGGTAAATCCCTTACATGTTTCAAAAGTAGCGCAACGTTCGTCGATGCACGAAGCATGTGCAACGTGCAGCCCTTGGGAAGGTCATGGCGGCACAGTGTAGCACTGAGTTAGATTTCAGACGCCATGAATTTCCCAGAAGTGGCACGCGGCACGTGTCTCGAGCATTTCTACAACAACGAATGGCGCCACTTTTCCCAGGATAGAGGGGCTTTACCCAGAGGGGGAGCGTGATGGTCTCCACCGAAGCGCCGTGCGTAATAGGAAAACATAGCGCTTTGCTTGTAGGAGTACGCTGCGTGTAGGAATGCTTTCGCATTCTTACACGTAAGCAGTGTTAAGTGTCTCTGTTGAATTTTAAGTAAGTAAATAGATGGCGCTAACACACTTGCCATTTGTCTTCTTTTTTTATCAAAAAGATTTGCTCACTGTGTTAGCGCAACCTCTATTTATTTACTTACAAGATAAGTGACCTTTCTGGACGGCGGTTTGTAGAAGTTGTGCTTGGTCGTTGATGCGGGTCGGGCAGAGGAGTGTGTGCATATATGTGACGATGACTTCAAATAAAAATCATTTGACAGTTAGCGCCTGTTCTTTTTAGAGCGCAGCTCTTAGGGGCCCGTTTCCAGCCTGAGCGGCGTCGGCGTCGCCGTTGGCGTCGCCGTCGGCGTCGGCGTCGGCGTCGGCGTAACCGCGCCCCTCCCTCTCCTCCTCCTCCCCCTCCTCCTCCTCTTCCTCCTCCTCTTCCTCCTTCTCCTTCTCCTCCTCCCCTCATTGTGTAGTATGGTCCGGGCGGGTCACGTGACCTCGGAGGGAGGGGGTCACATGACCCGTTTCCAGCCTGTGCGGCGTCGGCGTTGGCGTCGGCGTCGGCGTCGCCCTCCCCCTCCTCCTCCTCCCCCTCCGCTCCTCCTCCTCCCCCGCCAAGGTCACGTGACCCTGGGGGGTGACTCCCCTCCCCCCGCCGGTCACGTGACGGCCCGCCCGAGGTCATGTGATCCCGTCCCCTCGAGGTCACGTGACCCCCCGGACCTCTGCCCTTCTCCTCCTCCCCTCATTGTCTAGCATGGTTCGGGGGGGGGAAAGGGTCGCATAAGAGCACAGCTCTTACGCGACCCTTTCGTCCGGTTTGAGCGGCAAGGAGGAAAGCAGTACGAAGGTGGAGGAGGGGGGGAGGAGAGACGAGGAGGCGGAGGCGAGGGGAGGGGAGGAGCTTGAAGGACGAGGAGGAGGTAAAGGAGAGGGAGGGGGAGCAGGAGGGGAGGAGGACTAGCAGGCATGATCACGAGGCAGGAGGAGGAATATACCCTCCACTCCTCCTCCTCAAGAGCTGCGCTCCAATTCGGCGTTACAGGAAGTTGTAAACGGCTTTCACTTTTTTTCTTCGTGTCTTCGTCGTCGTTGTTTTGGTTGCGCTTTTTAATTATTTTAATCACCGTCACGCTCGCTTCCCGATAAACGTTTTCTTTTATTATTTCCTGAGTATCGCCGTACGCTCTATGTTTAAGCGCGTTCTGACAGCGAGCGTTCGCCAGAAATCACCGGCACCGTCAAAACTGTTGTTCGTAGAAGACGATAAGTCACTTGACCCACAGCTCGTGCTGATAACGACATGTGCATACTTTCTAAGGAACGCTTGACCTTACCTTAAAACGCAGTCCTACAGCTCGTACATCGTACAAAAGACTCGGTGTTCGCTTCATACGTTTACTTCATACGTACGTATGCTTCGTCGAACAGGTCTGCAGAAAGAGTTTGTTGACCAAAGTGACCGCCATACAAGGAAAACTTCAGCCAGTCTCTACAGACTGTCTTTCTTATTGCGTATCAGCAATGCCACCGCAGCTTTACGTAAAACCTGCGTGGAACCACCGAAAACCGTTACCGATCCGTTGTAAACAGCGAGAGGTACGTTTATATAATCGCTAGTAAAAGAAGAAACAAAAACCACTTTCGATTAAAAAGCGATGGCGGTGAGGCGAAGCTACTTTCCCCCGTCGGCAGGGGCAGTTTGTGCAGACGTTACCACTAGCAACGGCGAACGCCCGTCGGCTGGTCGCGCGCTGCGGTTCGCCGACGTCGCCGCGCACGGGGGACGGCTCTCTCTGTCGGAATGCGCCAGGAATACGGAGCGGACGACGGTGACGGGTGTCCGCTGCACTGAGCCACGCCATGCCTCGCAAGGTAAACTTCAGCGTAGTGCAAGTGAGCGGCGAAGACGAGAACTTCCAGGCGGTCGAACTGAACTTGCACGGACCGACCGTCAAGGGCTGGCTCTCGAAAAAGTAAGTTCTTTTTTTTTTCTTTCTTGGGCTTCTATTTGTTTTTCTTTGTATTATATTGCACCCTCCTTTTCGGGGAGTAGTATAGGGATGTGACGCGTTTGTTTACAACCGAGAAGAGCGCGTGATCCGAAACGCGTAACCGAAGTGTAACGTTGAAGCAATCTAGAAATTAGTGGAGATCATTTTTCGGAGATTACATCGGGATTACGTGTGCGATGTGCAAACGTTGCTGCGCAGTTAGTTGTTTTCTTTGTTCAAAGTTTGTTTTCGTCGCCCCATTTGCTCACTGGTATCGATCTGTTAGTTTTCATTCCTCTCACTTGGATAAAAAGAGCTAATGCCTAATTTTTTGTTTCGGAGGTCCCTGAACTTATACGACACAAGTTTCGGCGTGTTTTATGTTTTAAAATAGTATTTTAAAATCGATGATAAAATATATATCGGTTTGCCGCTTCCTTTCTTTTTTGGTGATACTATATGTTTATTATTTGTTTGTTTATTCTTGGGCCAAGTTATTTTACAGAAAAATTTGTTTGTGTTAGTGGGGGAAATATTCTTGTTTTTTTGCAATGAAAATCTAGAAGACACAGCGATTTCCGTACATGTCCCCAAATTTTGTTGTGAAAACTAGTGAAAACAACTGCAAAAGTTAAGCCATTTATAGAATTTTAGTGGGAAAAACCTTTTTTGTAGATTTAAAAACAAACAGCTCGCGCACCCTAAAATTTGGGTTCAAAATCCAGCCATCTACTGGTTTACGTCCTTTTAATAAATATTATATTAGTTTACCATTCGATCAGTATATGCAGCGCTATTTTTTTATTCGTAGATTAAATTCCGTCGTCCCTACACGTCCTCTTTATCAAATACAAATTAAGTTTATCCAAACGAAAATAGGAAGGTATAAAACCAAGATTTTGATTCATTTTAGAGAACGTTTTGTACCTGTGTCTGCGCCGCTTTGAAACATTAATAGTAAACATGAATCCGTGGAATGCGCGCGCCGTTTGTTATTTATTCGTAGGCTTCAATATTTTTTTCTTTAATTAAAAAAAAGTATATTTGCGAGGTGAAATTTAATACCAACAAGAACGCAATACATACATTTTTATCTCGATGAGCGCCACTATTGTTTACCTGCTGTTCGTTGGCGAAATGTAAAAGACAAAAAAATATTTTTGGTGGGTTGCTTTCCCGCATGAAGGGTGTGTATGTGGAGAAGCCAGAGTGACAGGAGCACCAATCACGCTTTGAAAAAACAAAACAAGAAGAGGACGACGGCGCATTTACTGTGCGTGATTCGTTTGGCCAGTTACAGCAAAGGCACGAAGAGAACGAGCGACATGACGACGCACATTTTTTTGACGCAGCTTTATTAAAAGTATATTCATTTCAAACTTCGAGAAGAATCAATATATTATACATTTTGAATTCTCGATCCATCGATTGATGGATTGATGGAGTGATTTGTGTATTTACTGGCCTCTTTCATTTGAGCGTCCCACAACTAATTTTACGCCTTCTCGTTGTGCGCATTAAAAATAGTGGAAAAAAACAACAACTAGCAAACAATAATAATTGTGCTTAAGGGATGTGGTTTTGTGCGTCCTGGTCACGCGTAGAAACCTGGCATTTGGGAACGCGTCGCAGCCCTGCTACCGCGAACAAGCCAACACAAGCTTTTTCACGTACTTGTTTTTTTTTTCTTCCAAAATTGAGCCGTTTTCATAAAACTAAATAGTGTGATGGGAAGTCCTCACCCAGGATACTGACTTAAGCTGTTTGGTGCGCATTAATACTCTGAGTAAAATGCAGAAACGAGACGATGTCGTTTTCGCTTTTTCGCGTTAAGTGTGTAACGCAGTGTACGCAGACTTAGTATAGAAATGATTGCTTTGTATGGGGGTCCTACGGAAGAAAAGAACGAATAACACATATTCAGTAAGTAGAAATTTAGATAATTATTTGCTCGTGTTCATTATGCGGCACGTCTTGAATAAAACTAGAGATTAAGAAAGAAACATTGTAATAAATTAACAAGGAGGTAGCGGTTATCTTTTGAAGGGGTGTGTAAAATTATTCTCGTGCGCAGTAGTACAGGAGTTCATTCTGTATACTGTATTTTCTAGAGTATTCGTAATTGTAATCAACTACTTTTCAAACGTAACATGTACTGCTAGGCTAACTTTGATGCAGCAATCTAACGGTGTGACATAAAATAACCAAACAAAAAATTGCGGGTTTTATGACGTCATGTTTTAGCGCTTGCGGGGACCGTGGTGCTCGGAATATCCCATAAATGATGCGATTTGATTTCAGGTACTCGACCTATCCCCAAGAAATCGTCATTCAACTCGAGACAAAGTGCAGGATATGTCGGATACAAATTTTATCGCACCAATACTGCATCGGTAAGTTTGTATTTGTATCATGATTCGTAGGTGTGCCCGAAAAAGTACCCCATTTTATCAAATATTTCAAGAGTTGATTTTTTTTTAAATATTGTTTCTTAACCTAACTTTGCCAAGTTACGACTACTTAAATTTGTTGCGGTTAAAAAAGAAGTAATTACATAGGAACACAAATTTACGTGCTCAAATTTATGAAACAATTGCGCTAAAATTTTATATGAAACGGCAATTCTGGCTGCGTGCCAGTCACTGTTCCACTTCCTTAATTTTGTTCTCGTTAACCTTATAAGCTCAGTAGATCGGATAAAGTAATGCAGAAATGCTAGGTCACTGAAAAATATTAAAACTGTTCGCGCGGGGTCTTGAAGTGAATAAAACAAATTTCCCTTGCAGTTTTAGAAATGTGACAATAATTGTAAGGAAAAAAATAGAAATGTAAAATAAACTGGCATAAGAGTTTCATAATTACATTTTTTGGATAAACTAATACATTCTGAGGTTAAGGCGTAATGAGAAACTAACTGGGAATGAATTGTCAAAGAAATTTCGGGTTTGCCAACTCAGCTAATGTTTCTTTTGAGAAAAACACGCAGTAATCCGACGAGGCATCTGCCTTGCCAATTTGAAACTACCAGTTTGTAAGATCATAAGTGAGCTTGTGATAGAAATACATTTGGAAAAAAAGTCGTCGCTTCTGTGTTTTTTCTGTAATGAGATAAACCTAACATCCAGGGCTTTGTAGGAATCGAAAGTGCTATCAGTTTCGATTCCATTAAAACATTAAATATTTCCCTAATTCGGTTTAATGCAAAAAGTATTACTACTTTTAAACTCACAGTTCGGACGCAAGTATGTGCTCGTCTCTTGATCTTAAACGTGTGGAGTCGTATTGGGGTACGAACAAACTATTCAGTGTGTGCCCGTGTCTGCGTGTGCTTGTAAAGAAATAAGATAAGATCGAGCTGTGCTTATTATAACGTCACAAAAAAAAGAGCGTGAGGATTTATATAAACCCTACCAATAACAACTTAAAAAAAAAAAAAAACGCATGACATATTATATGCATTTTTCTGCATAAGAACGGACAGGTTAATTCGAGGTTTGGCTATGGCTGTCTACATTACCTTCCTTCTCAGAGTACACTTAAATGACAGTATTCTGTTTCACTTGTCCTTAATTATTTTTTTGCGATATTTTATATAAATAAATTTAGCACTCATCAGCCGAAATCATTTTAAGCGTTTCATTTGTATAATATGTATATAATATATAAGAGATTGCTTTGAACTACTGAAAACTGCTAAGAAAACTAATTAATTTTTCGACTTTTTTAATGGTTTTCTTGTCATAATATATGGGTAGTATATACAAGTAAATATACATATATATATATATTTTTTTTTAACATTTTTTGGTAGGGGTCGTTAAGATAAACATAATGTTTCCCGGGCTGTTTCTTATCCGGGACGTTAAAGATATAATGGTGGTTTCGAATATAAATAGTGGCATGAAATTTGTCTTGCTAAAATCCGTCTGACTTTGACTGTTTCTTTTGTATTTGTTGCAAACTCCGCGATACTGTAGACGCAAACAAGCCATTGCAGCTCTTTTTTCTCGGCATTCAAAGGCTGTTATCCAAATTACTATAGCCGTGGAAAGTGATCTGTTAGGATACTAACCTAAGTGATACATTTAGATGCCTACCAGAACCGTTTCAAAGTAAAATGCGAAAAAGTTCCGAAGTCGTGTTCGGGCTAACAGTGTCACAGGGTCTACGCTACGCGAAAAAGTTCCGAAGTGTCACAGGGTCTACGCTACAAAGCTGTGACGTAAAGACGAAAGTATTCGGAAATAAGCACTGTCATTTACGCTTAATATGACAATGCACTGCGGTTCAAATTTAAAACTGTAACCGAATCGTAAAAGATAAAAATAAAAAAAAAAGAAACAAGACGCGCGCGGGACACGCAGCTTGAAACATCGCATATTATTTCTGAGGGCAAGCAAAAATAAAACGACGCAATTTTTGTATTTCTTGTTCGCAGCTAATTTTATACTCTTCAATTTCAATTAATGTCGGTCGGTTTCAATCAAATGCGACTGCTATTTTGAGGATTTTTCAGAATATACCCAAAACTCCAAGGACAATTTACAGCGCACGCGAATCAAAATACATTTCCCGAAAAGCGTTAGAATTGGATTTGACGTTGTATTAGGAAGGAAAGATGACTGCGTTTTCCTTACTGCCAAAATAAACAACCCTCAGTTCCGCAAGAATGTATTGCTTGTAATCGCGACTCCAGGCCGAAGTTTTGTAATACTCGATTCACACGACCAGCGTAAAGTTACCTTCGTTAACATAGATCCCTTTCCCATCGGCGAATCAGCCAGCGCTCTCGGGTCGCGAGCACGTGCCACGTGCGGAGAATCGCGAACTGATTCGCCGCGGACCATAAAGGTCCTTTATCTAAAGGAACCTTTATGATCGCGTGAAAGGGGTATAACTTACCGTTATCTGATTCAAACGTGGATAAGGATACTTTGGGCACTGAACATGTTCGCAATATCGCTTACAACTTTCGAACAAAATAACAGCAAGTTTTGAAACTCTGGGATCAAAACACAATTGTATTACTTTAGTTGCTCGGAAAGTGAGCGTGCGGCGTTACGCAGTTTACTTTATGGCGAGAGAATCTCGGTTCTTTTCTATGCTAAATATCCTTTACTTACGATTTAGAAGCTTTTATTGAGACTAAGCTTTATTTGAGAACCCCAAGATTCTACTAGATAACAGAAAGTATAAAACAGGGAGAGGGCGAAACACAGACGAAACACAGACGAAACACAGACTCGTCTGTGTTTCGTCCTCTCTCTGTTTTATACTTTCTGTTATCTGGCATCTTACCAACACGCTCGTTAGGAATATAATACCCAAGATTCTAAGTCTTTATATTTCGGTTCACCTTACGCTGGGCCTCAGCGTACGCGTCTCAACCAATCGAGTGCTGAGGAAGTATCACGTGACTGAACCCTTTCCGAAGGTCTCGTGACAGTCGCATGGCTATGGGATTGGATTATTCGTATCATCTACTGCGTTTCATCGTAAGGTGAAACGGAGTATAAAAACGCCCAATGCTCTTGTGGCCGCTTCAGATAGGACACTACATTTTCGAGTTGAGCACTGCCTCGCCTTTTTTTTTTTTTTTTATAAGGTCTTATAATGTACAAAACGCACTACTTAAGGAGCGATCGTATCATTTTGTTGAGAGGAAATTAAACTACCGTTTGAGAAGCGAAGAAGAACCTATTTTTCTTTTTATCAAATTCCCCGCTAGACTACGCGGAGCGCAGGTTCGTCTGCTTCTTCTGCAGAAGTTGTTGTGACGTCAGAAAGACGCCGAGCTGTGATTGGCTTTGAATGAAATATAATGGGTAGACTTCGGAGCAGCTTTCTTTGGGGTGTACCCACTATCCTTCAATTAGAGCCAATCGGAGCTCGGTGTCTTCCAGACGTAACCGAAACTCCTGCGCATGAAGCAGACGACTTGCTCCCCGCATAGGAAACTAAATTTGTGTAGGTCACGTGACGTCAATTTCTCAACTAAATTTGGCGGTGAAATGCACGTATGTACGTACAGATGAACGGACACAATTTTGAGGTTAGAAGAAAGTATGTTATGTTTAAAAGAACACACACACATACAAAAAAAGAAAAGAACACTATGCACTTGTAGTTGTTTATCTACTCCGTTTCTCAGCCCCCGTGAGCGGGCCAAAGCGTCTGACTGTTTCGCCTGGTGACCTTTCAGCCACGACGATAGACATTTACGTGGGCAACGTCCCCAAGGGCCTGGAAGTGGCGCCATACAACGCACGCTGGATTCATTTAGGGTGAGTGGCCCTCTTCCCGAAAGACGCGCTCCGACGCGTCCGCACAGTGTTGCCCGTTCAATCCCTCCTCCCCGCTGGGCACGTCCTGTGTGCCGACGGCGCCCCGCCACGTCCGGACGTTTCAAACTCCGGCGGCTTTCGCACGCCGCTTTGTCACGCGGTGCCGATTTTACTTCCAACAACGGGGAGTGTTCCGCTGAGTAGAAGGGAATGAAGAGCCTACATTTTAGAGACGAAGCAACTTGAATCACGAAGAGCAGTTCGTCTGTTTCTTGCACAGGGGTTGCAATGATGTCAGAACGCCGAGCTCTTATTGGCTGATTAAAAAAAAAAGGTGTGTAGACCTGAAGCCATTGATGTCTACCCACTATCCTTCCAATCAAAGTCAATCAGAACTCGACGTCGTCCTGACGTCACTGGAACTTCCACGGAAAAAGCAGACGACCTGCTCTCCGCATGCACCCTGTTCAAAATTATTATACATCTGGTGGCTCAATGAGGAGTTTGCCTTTGAAAAAACTAATGGCGATTGTGAAACTGCATTTCATCGGATCTGTCACTTTCGCCCATCAGTGTCAGATGATAATTGGTTCTTTTATTACCTTATAATTTGTTATTTTTTTTTTCAATTTCGGTGGTATGAATAGACGACTACAAAGCTATGACCCATAATCCTCTTGATAAGTTTCCCTCATTGTGCCATGAGATGCAAACACTCCGTAATACGCGATCACGTGATCGTTGTATCTGATTTGCGCGTCGTTTTGTACTGACTGCCTCGAACATATATGGCTCACATATCCTTCGCTTGATAATATCTTCAACTTATTCCTTCACCGGCCTCAAGAAGGATGCCGTTATTTTGGCACGAATGTCATACACTGATTCAATCCCCACCCCTGTCCGTTTCTATCTGGATGAACATCGTACCGGCGTGCGGTCGTGTATCACTACTGCGTGGTGCACATTAAAGACCTTAGGCTGGCAGTTGCACTGCACTGGCTAGATTGCTTATCTACAGTGGGTAAAAATGTTGCCATGTCTGGCAGGCTAAACTCCTGCTGTTTAAATGACGAACGATGAATCTGTTTTTTTTTTTTTTCCCTACACTAAAATCCAGGGATCCTGGGTTTAATTTTCACCCCTGCCCGTTTCGATCTGGATGAGCATCGTACCGTCGTGCGGGTCGTGTATCACTAGTGCGAAGAGCACGTTAAAGACCCCAGGCTAGCGGTTGTACTGCACTAGCTAAATAGCTGATCTACAGTGGTTCACAATGTCGCCATGTTGTGGCAGACTAAACTCTTGCTGTATAAAGAACGAATAAATAATTTAGCTATTTTTTTCCATACACCGAGATGATAGTAGTGATCAAAGTTGCCAGACTAAATTTCGGAAAGGGTCTATTTAATGGCGGACGTCTCCTGCACCAATTGGTCGCAAGTACGCGTGCGCTTCGTGGTGGCCTGTAAGGAGGGGCGCAAGAGGAGACGCTTGGAGACTAAACAATGCCTTCGTAACCTCCTCGTAGCTCGTACTGCAAAGGCGGCCCACAAACCACGTGACAACGACCGAGCAGTTGAAACCACTCTTTTACCTATGCACACTGGGAGGGAGCGCAAACCGAACATGGGTTGCCGGTGGCTTTACGACTCACCGCACCTTAAACGACCGAGATAGCCGGGGACGCGTAATCAAAGCTAGAGAATAACGACGTATGAATATATAAAGAGGGCGATTTAGAAGGAAACGCGGGTCGCGTGGAAAAAAAAGAACATTCGCAAGCTCGATTATGCCGACAAAGATCGGGGAACCGCTGCATGTGTTGTGCGCAAAATTACTAGCTTCGAGAACCTCCTCGGAGAAATTGACGTCACGGGACTTGAGGTCACATGACGTGGCGGTGTCACGCCAATTTTCCCGCTAAATTTAAAGCGGAAATTGATATCACGTGGCTTGAGGTCACATGACGTAGTCACGTCCTTCACGAGGCTTGGACGCATAACGTGGTCACGTGACGTCGATTTATCGGCTAAATTTAGCGGGAAAAGTGATGTCGCGTGACTCGTAAACACATGAGATGATTACGTGACGTCAGTTTGTCCGCTAAATATAAGAGGACCATTGACGAGATGCTTCTTCGTGACTAATCTTCGTAACGATTCTTCGTAACGGGCGTTTCGTGGCATTCTTGTCGGTAAAGCACATTATGTGCTGAGATATATATCAGGGGTGGCCAGGTTGGCCTGAGAGCCGCAAACAAAACCATGAAACTTCCAAGAGCCACAAGGGGGGGGGGGGGGGGGGGGGCAAACTTTTGTCCAGAACAATAAACGAAACTCGAACTACTTTCTATCTATACGAGTCAAAAGCAGTCCAACTGTGCGTAAGGTAGCAGTCGCATAAGACTACGAAACCGCAACCCGTCTTTCGATTTAAAACGCGTTCCATTTCTTTTTTTGGGGAAGCGCTCGTGTGGCCGGGCGGGAGGTGGGGGAGTGCTTGTGTGTGTGTGTGTGTGGGGGGGGGGGGGGGGGGGGGTCGGTAGGGGAGTGAGCCGCGGGCCGCACTTTCACACGCGAAGAGCAGCTTGCGCCTCGCGAGCCGCAGCTAGCTAGCTAGCTAGCTAGCTATCTATCTATCTATCTATCTATCTATCAGATAGATAGATAGATAGATAGATAGATAGATAGATAGCTATCTATCTATCTATCTATCTATCTATCTATCTATCTATCTATCTATCTATCTATCTATCTATCTATCTATCTATCTATCTATCTATCTATCTATCTATCTATCTATCTATCTATCTATCTATCTATCTATCTATCTATCTATCTATCTCTCTCTCTCTGTCTATATATATATATATATATATATAACCTCCTCCTTAGTAACCGGTCAGTTAAGTGTTCGCTTTGGAACCAGTGGTAGAGGGAAGGAAAACGACAAGCTGAATTTCGACGGAATGCAGCGTCTGCTGTTCGACCTGCTTGACTGGCCGATCAACGTTCTTTTCAAGCGTTTGAAGGAAGGCGGATTTGGCAAGTTGAACGAGGAGGCAATCGCTAGAATCTAGGCTAAAAAAGAAAAGAATAATGATATTTTAATGAAATAAACCAGATTTATTTCATTTAAGTCAAATCTTTTTTTTGATTTAAATCAGGTTATCTTTATTTCGATCAATGTAGCTAGAAAATAGTGATTCCTTAGTGCTAGATGCATCTTTTAAACATGGTAGATTGATTGCAACAGATCCGATCACTTAAAATGACGTGGAAGAAAAAATTACTGTACATTTAAAGTACAGTTTAATAACGTTTCATGAATGTGATTTCGGTCATATTGCCGCGCGCAAAGTAGGCAGCGCGGCCGTAGCCTAATGGTTATCGCGCTTGCCTCCCACGCGAAGAGCCAGGGTTCGATTCCTGGCCGCGACTATGCATTTTTGTTAACACTGTAATGTGATGTTCTGGTGAAATCGAGAACCATCTAGCTGATTCGAGGTCAGATTGTCCTACGCGTCGAACCTTCTACGTCGAATGCTCCAGAAGCCAACGTCTGTACAAAAGCGGCTCCGCGGGCAAGCCGGAGCCAGTCTCGCCCCAGCGTTCGACTCTGCTGCCACGCCGACTTCGACGCCCGCGACGCTCTGTTATTATCTTTTGTACTCTTCTATTTTTGGCACAAGTTCGCCACATTAAACGTTTATTTCTTCCTGTTTATTTATTGTTTTTTTAGTCACCACCCGTCACATTTTGGTGGAGGTGCGGGGTACCGCATGTCCGTGCAGCGCAGACCTCCGAGTTCCCGCAGTACAAGTCCAAACCCAAGCTCCCGAGGGCCCAACGAAGACCAGATCGAGACTCGATGAAGTCGCCGCACCCAAGGGCTACACCCGGAATACGGACTTTTACCACCCAGGAGCAGGCAGCAGACGATGGCCAACCAGTCGCAGACCCCCGCCGCTCCTTCCGTCGTCTACCTACCCGTCGCTCCTCGGACACCGGCTCCATTCCACGGCGAGCAGCACGAAGACGTCGAGGACTGGCTTCAACAGTACGAGCGGGTGGCCCAGCACAACCGATGGACGGACGACCAGCGCCTGCAGAACCTTTACTTCGCGCTCGAAGGAACGGCCAGGCACTGGTTCGAGAATCGGGAGACTTCGTTGATCTCGTGGACCGCCTGCAAGAATGAGTTAAGGCGAACTTTCACTAACCAGTATCGACGGGAGAGGGCCGAGGACCTTCTTCGAATGAGAAATTAGGGCGCAAACGAGACTATCACCAGTTTCGTCGAGGATGTCCTGCGCCTGGTCACTCGCGCCGACCCTCAAGCCACCGACGAAAAGGAGTTGCGGATCCTGATGCGAGGCGTACGAGATGACATCTTCGGAGGCCTCGTCCGCAACCTGCCGACCACCGTCGAAACGTTTGTAACAGAGGCGACCAACATTGAACGGGCCCTGCAAGCACGAGCCGCTCCCTTCCATCGAGCTCCTGCCGTCGCTGCACCCACGCCGTCAAGCTGCACCCTCAGCCCCAATATTCCGGGGATCCGAGAAATAGTCCGGGACATCGTCCGTGGAGAACTGAAGAAGCTGATACCTGCCGCCGAACCTGCAGCTTCACTCTCGATCGCCGAGATTGTTCGAGAAGAGGTCCAGCAAGTGCTCCAGCCAGACGTTCTCGCCGACGCCGCACCGGAACCACCAGCTGTGACCTATGCCGCCGTTGTTCGTCGTCCGCAGCCTCCTATTGCTCGGCAGTACCCATCTGCACCCCAACGAGAAGTCTCTTCGCCGCAGTACGCGCCGCGCCAAGAGCAGCGTGGACTTCGAAAGACCGACGTGTGGCGCACGGATGACGGACGCCCGGTGTGCTTCCACTGCGGGGAGGCTGACCACGTTTACCGGAGGTGCCCCTACCGCCAGCTCGGCCTACGAGGATTCGCTCAAAACCGACCGTCGACCTCGTTTTGGAGAACGACCAAGG